TATATATATATAATTTAAGGAGAAGCCATATTTATATACACCAAATTATCAGTATACAACGGATTTGATTATGTACTTTTTTTTTATTTTAAGACTATTAAAGCTTATTTACACATTTTTATTACATGAGATATATAATATTTTCCTTTTTTTAATTAATATATATTGAAAAATTTAGTAAATTATCTAAAAATATATTGTATAGAGAAAAAAACAACATTTCTAGATAAATTATAGTTTAGCTAATATATATGATTTTTAAAATTACATCCGTTAAAAAGTAAAGTTTCATTGACGTGAGTGCAATTTATGTAAATTACTTTTATCTGACCAAGGTACAAGAAAAACTTATCTTTTAAACTCTGAAGCACGAACTTAATCTATGTCAAGGAAACTTTTTACCTTATAATTGATCCCTTCATTCAGTGTAAGCTTTTGCTGACTGGAGTACAATGTTAATAAAAGTAACGCTACTGACTCGTAATATTCTTGATTACGCTCTAATATTGACAAGGAAATTCAAGGATCGAAACAATAGTCGGCCCGAGCAATATCACGCTTCTACTATAAAGAGTGTGTCTTGTTACAAAGGAGGAATCTGAATCCAGGCTTAACCAGGACGGTTTTCGTGATACGGGCTAATAGAAGCTCCACTTAGAGAGGGTGAGTTTATGCCTATCTACTAGTAACACTCTGATTTCTCCAGAACACTGTCTTTGGCATACTTCCATGAAACATTGCATAGATTATACTTAACACACACACACACCCTTTGCCTTTCCCGCAATTCTGTTACATAAACGGTCATATTTCTCCTCACTTAAACTGTGTAATTTTAAGCAGATCGTCTATGTGAGAGACAGGCACAAATGCACGATATAAATAACAGATAGCAGATTGTTAAATAATAAATCCAACGGTATTCAACAATAATTATTCTGTAATTAATTATTATATAAAATAAATTTGTATTTTATATTAATAAATTATATTAATATATTAATAATTA